CTGTCCCTCAGCCGGCTCCGGGGCGGCTCCGCTTCCCGCCCCGGCGGTGGCGGGGAGACGGGGGGGCCGGACCCGGAGCTGGGGGTTTCGCAGCGGCCCTTCCGACGGAGGCGCCTCCACCGCGGGCGGAGCTGCCGCCGAGGCCCGGCAGGGCCTCCTGAGCCGAGCATGACGCGCCGCTTCAGGGAGGCCTCCAGCGCGGGCCTCGTCGCCAGCGTTGCGGGAGGCCGTCCCGTCCCCCGCAGCCTCGCCGGCGGCTTCAGGCGTCTTCGTTGCCCCCCTTGGGCCCGCCTGAAAGCGGCATCGCTTCGTTACGGCGGGGGGGGGAGGTGGGGGGCTGGTTCACAGGCGAGCGTGGCCCTTGGAGCGCAGGCAGGTGCGCCGCGGGGGGAAGCGCCGTGGGCAGCTGGTGAAGGCGGTTAGCCGAGCCGCTGTTGCCAGTAAAAGTGTTTTTCAGTCCGGCTGTGGTAACCTGTAAATAAACTGCTCCTGAATCGCCTCGTTCTGGAGAATTTTCCTTTAGGTGCATTTTGAGATATCCCGGAATCCCCAGCTGAGCTGTTCATCAGGCTTAAAAACGATAAAGTAGCAGAGTGTGAGCTAGGTTGGTTTCAGGTTGCCGGTCTGAGCATCCCTTTTTTCTGCCTCTCCCCGGGAACTGTGACACGAAGCCTCTGGCCGGGCCAGGCGGCAGGCCTGGGCGAGAGCTTGCCAGCTCAGGCAGAGGTGACTTGCATCCTGCAGAGCCAAACTGCTGGCCTTGAGAGACTGCTAAAACCTCCCTGGCTGTTTGAAAAGAGGACTTGGGAGTTTTTATGGTGCAACTTTTTAGGTTGCATTTCACTAGCGGTCCTCTGATCAAAATTGTACTACTAACCAATGCCCCATATCCCAGAAGTCTGGAAAAGTCTATGTGTGTGGGAGGGAAGTAAGAGGGAATTTGATTTTTTTTTTTAAAGTATTTGGTGTTTTTCACTTTACTATATTACACATGATGCTTTTGGCTTAGCATTGCTAGGTGTGCTGTTGGGTTCTGGCAGAGAATAGTGGTAAGGCTTGATCTTGAAAATGGGGTTAAGAATTGAGTAAACTGCTAGGCTGATTTACAGAGCATTTTCTCAAACTGTAATCTCTTAATGATAGAATGACTGAGTGTTTTAAACAATGATTCCTGGCAAGCTTGTAGTAATGTATGCAATGCTGTAAAACACCTAATTCTTTCAGTGGGGTGTCAGGGTGTAGGAATTAATAAGTGGGTGGATCTGGCTCTTAGTAAAACCATTCATTAAAACATCTGGGCTTTCCAAATGTGCCTGCCATCTAAATGGGCACATTGTGGATGATGGTGTCCGTGTTTCATAAGATAGTACGGCTGTGTTGAACACAGTGAGTTTTCAAAACTTTTGTGTACTTCCCAGGTTCATCCATCTCAAGCATAGAGCTTCATATGATCTTGTTTGTATCTTGTCCTTTCCTAGCTTCTGAACCTCAAACTGGTCACTTATCATGTAATTATTGTGGAAACATGTATACTGTTTATTAGTTTAAAAGAATAAAGGAAAATGTTGTGACAGCCTGTGATAAACGGATGTCTTATTCCATGCCCAAATAAGCCTGTCCTGTCTTTCATCCTGTGGATGGTAGAGAGTGCCAAGGAGGAAGAGAGTAAGCAAAGGGAAATGCCCATTGGTGTCTCCATGCAATGCTCATCCCAGCTTACATGAATTGTGATCCAGTCTGTATTTAATAGCTCCAGGTGTGTTTTTATCTAGAGCTCTTGTATTGGGAGTGCCCAGGGGAAGGGAGTTTTGCAGCTTAATTGCTGCTTGTGTGAGGAACCAGTTCTCTGGGGTGATTTGAGCCTCCAGTATTTGGGTTTTGCTTATTTTTTCCAGTTCTTATACTGGAGGAGGTGGTGAACAGCCGTGTACAACTCTATTCGCTGTGTCCATGAAATCCTGAGCAGTGTGGAGCTACATGACGTCTGTTCCAGACTGAAGGGTCCTGATGTGTTTAACTGGTTGTTGCATGGAGGTGGTCCACATCTGATCCTTTGCTGTGTTGTGTGTCTTTCCTGGCCCCTTTTGAGATGGGAGTTAAACTGAAAATAGTCTTTGAGTTGAATACTGTATGGATTAATACAGTTATGTAATGATATGCCACTTGCATAACTAATCTTCAAGTAAAAGTGTAAAGCAAAATAAACCTGGCAAGCTGTCCAGAAGCAGAAATGTATTTAAATGTATTTACCTTTGAAGCTCCAAGCATACATACAAAGTAAAGTTGCAGATATTAATCTTAAATCTTATGGCAGTAAATTCTTACACCTCTAGAAAGGTAGCAGTTATTTTAGATGGTGACTTAAATGTTGATCATGCATTTTTGGGGCCTCTTGTTAAGTAACCCAATGAATCAGATGTATCCCACACATAGTGTAGGAAAGGCTGTGATGAAACAACCAGGAATATGTGGTGCTGAGCACATCTGTGTATTGCGAGTTGATCAACTGTCAGCTGCTTGCCATGGCCTCATAGGTAGGGCAGGAGGACTAATTCTTAAAATATATTTGGTATTAGCAATTCTTTTACTCTTGTAGACTAGGAAAACTGGATAGAAATTATACCACTCAACTGCTGAACAAGTAACAATCTGTTAATTATTCCTTCTGATACTGCTGGCTGGCTTTCTCTCTCTACCTTTGCTCCTGATACCCCCAGCTAGTGGCATTTTTTGCCACTTGAATAGCTTAAACAGCAGAGATACAGGTAGTCTCTCAGCTCTGAAGGTTGAATTGCTCCTGATGAAGGGGAGAGGAGGCAGCTGTTGTGCCTGGCAACCTGTAGCACCAAAAGTGATTTACTTGCTTGGTTTAGGAAGCTTTGGTAAAGAACAGAAGTGAAATAGATTTGATCAAATACAATATGTATGGGTACTTTTACTGCAGTAGTTGACTAAACAAAATAATTAAGGACTGATGGGAATTTTGTAGCTTATAGCTGTTATATTGTGAATTGCCTAGAGAAATAAAAATCAGGAATTTTAACAGAGGATTAAGGATGCTTGAGAAACAAAGCTTTTAAAATGTTTGTCTGTGGAGATATTTATACTACGCCCTGTGCAAAAACATATAAAAATAGTCCTCCCTTTATCTTGCTTAGTAACAGTATGTTCTTCTACGGGGGGGGGAATAAAACATTTAGTGTCTATTTTTGGCAGTGACATCAGCAACTTGTTGACTCACCCTTTGGGCTTGAGTTTGTCTGCTGTTTTACCCATAGCACTGTACTAGCATAGCTGGATTACTGGATTATTGCTAGTGGAAAATTTTATAACTGTTTATGCGTGACTGTTGTAGGATGCACAGTTAACTTGATTATGATGGTTTATTCTCACACTCAAAGCAGGGCCATTTCTGCTCTTGTATTGGGTTGCACAGAACCTTGTTCTGTTGTGCTGAATCTCTGAAGATGTGCGTCCACAGCCTCTTTCAGCAGCCTTTCCCAGTGCTTGGCTACCCTCACTGTGAAAATTTCTTTCTTAATACTGTAACTTCCCTTGCTGCAACTTTGTCCAGTGCTTCTGGTCTTTTTTTCCTGTGTACTTTAGAGGAGAGCCTGGCTCATTCTTTGCTCTAGGCGCTCCCCTGCACCTTTCCCTTTAGGTAGGTTAAGACTGTAAGTGGACATTAGCAACCCATCCCTCCCCGAGTTAGGTTTTTTTCATCTCCAGTCTGAAGAAACCCAGCTCTCTCAGGCTCTACCTGTGTGCTATAGATAGTAGAAGACAGACCAGGAACAAACAGCTAGCTTTCTACAGAGGCCTTAGCTTGTCCTTGTTCACCTGTGCCTTGAGCAGGTGTGGGTCTATCTTGCTGGAGTTCACATCCACCTCTCCTGCCCTGTGCTGTGCCCCTTCACCCCTGGGAGGGTGACCATATCTGCATGGCAGCATGTCTAATACTGAGATCTTTGCACATTCTTCTATTTTTCCTTTTTTGGGGCGGAGGGGGATGTTGAAGGATAAACAGGCTTTACTTACATCAGCCTGGATTCTACAGTGTAATATAATTATACTGATTCACTTTGAGAATTGTCAGATTCATGATGAAATGAATCATGATGCTGCCTCAAGTTCTGAAAATTTTCCTTTTGGTTTCAAAGACCGTCTCCTTTAATCTCTTGTAAAGTGTAACTTCCTGCTTTAGACAGCTGACTTTTTTCCTTTTTTTTATAAAGCCTTGATAAACACTGAATGAGTGCTTTGATGGGGAAAAAAGTGCTTCTCTAAATGATCCTAAAATGTGATGCTAGGACCTAGTTAAGTCATAAGCATAGAGTATGGACTACCATAGTTAAATGAGTGACTAGCAGGAAGAAATGGACTTCTGGTCACATTCCCTCTGCAGTTCTTTGTCATGCATGGGCATATTGTTGCAAATGGTGTTTGTGAGGAAAAATAGAAATCTGTAATTTTTCTTTTTTCTGAAAGCCTGAATTGTGACCCTGAGTTGGGGAGGGGGGTATCTTCTTTGGAAAGGGGGGCAGTCCTTTCAGTATATATAGTGAACCATTCAGCCTTGACTCAAACACACACTGTTCAGAGCTTGCAACAAGAATCTACTTAAAAAAAACCCAAACAAAACCCCAAAGTGATCATGTTTGCATAGGATATCACTGTGCTACATTGTTTGACCATCTGTGATACCTTTTCCCACAAGTATTTTGTTAATTCCCAAGTGTTATTTAGGCTAAAGACTTTGTATAATTTACCATGTATTTTTAGTCTTTTACCTCTTAGAACATAATTGGTTCAATTAAAACCATTAATGCCTGTGGTGTAATTGCATTTTATGGAGTTACAAACTGGTGTTAGAAAGTGCTGCCCATTAGAATTTTCTGCTATAGCAATGAGTATGGCTTGGTATATTTTACCAGCCCCTGCAACTGCCTGTAATCTACTGACTATGTAGTCCTCAGTGAAAGCTTTTTTTTAATAGTTCGATTTATAGAGTAAATAAGTAAAAATGTACCACTGCACAGCTTCAGTCTTTATCTTGATGAAAGAAAGCATCAAACAGGACACTGATTTGTTCAGCTAGACAAAATACTAGCAGTAGTGCTTGGACATAGGTATGGGTTGAAAGAGAGAGGGAAGGTCCCATTTCTTCTGAAGTGTTGGTGAGTTTTTGGTTGAGAAGACTGAAAAACCTACTCAGTGGCTTTAGTAGCTGGATCAATTAACAAGATGTCTGTCAACTGGTTCATAGGTTTCTAGTAATGTTCTTAGACCTCTGCCCTCTTACAAAAGGGAAATACTTGCCATTCTCCTG